TTTTGATCTGTTGTTATATTGGTGCAGACCTCTCTGTTGCTGTGTTTTTGATCCATACATGGATAACCAAGCAAAAAGCGGATATTACCACTAGGAAACCTCAATTTACCACGAAGTCATCAATTGTTTTTTGTCATGTAAATCCATGCATGGGATCAATGAGTTGTAGTTTGAGAAAAGTTCTATTGATGCGATTGTTGAAACAATTAATGTTAACCAAAGAAGTTTTGGCATCTGATGTATGCCATCAGTGCTCCAAGAGCTGCTCCTCGATTGCTTACCCTTACGCTGGGCTGCATTAGTCTATATTGAGACTTGTGCAGCATAACTTACCCTGTTTGTTGCTCACACAGGCCTTTATGCAAGTTTGCACATTGCTCAAAGAAGGCCCAATGCTGCATTACCTAGCATCCTAGATTTGGTTGCTTACACAAGCCGATGGAATAGGGATGGATAACGAGCCAACTGGACTTTTTTAGCTTTCTCCGGACGGTACTATGCAAACTCGATTGAGGTAAATTCACCACCATGATCAGTTTGCAACACAATGCAACCTCTTCCTCATCTCCGCCTCACTGGGCCATAAAAGTGCTCGTCGCCATTGCCACCTTGTCCTTGCTCGACAATAGTGTCATCCACATGTATTGGCTGCTGCCGTCCATGGGGAGGAAGTAGCGCCTCCCTCTCAGCGTGGGTCCGGCATGATTGTCCCACATAGGTCCCCATGCACCAGCTTCGAGCAGTTCGTCTACATGGTAGCTTGCCTTCTTCAGGAAGAGTCTCCTCTGCTTCTGGTGAGGCAGTTGTTGGCTGTGCAGAGCTTGCTGGTGTGCTCGAGCATGGAGGCCATGGACCAAGCCGTGAGTGCGCTTACATGTTGGCAGTCATGAAGACCTCGCACTACTCTTGCCATCAAGGAAGCGATAGACTCGTGCTCCTGTCGTGCGCTTTCACGCCTTGCCTTCCTCACATGGTCAGAGCCAATGCACATCGACTTGAGGCTGTCCCAAGCCCGCTGGCAATGGCCTTGCTCCCAGCGCCAAGACATACTCCGTTGGGACCGCTTGTTGGATGCCATGATGGGCTGTGCCATCTGGTCCTCCACCTAATCTGTGGTGTGGGTATCCACCGCATGCCACAGTTCCTGAGCCTAGTGCATGACCTTCATTAACACCACCCAGTTGCTGTAGTTGGTACAGGTGAGAACTAGGTAGGCCGTGCCTCCAACCTCACCATCTTCTGCACCACTTACAGATGACACTCTAGTGACAGGGAGTCAGGGACTGGTTGGCATCCACACCATCCAGGGAGAGAGAAAGGCCGCCTAAGCCTAACATCTCTATCAATCTCCCAACCTCAGGCTTTGATGCCAATTGTTGGCCAGCTCCCATGCCTTCCCTCAACTCACATAGAAGAAGAGAGAATAGAGAGCACAAAAAAACTTGGTGATGCTGAACTAAATAGTGCAGCCTGCCTCTCTCTTTACTTCATATAGCAAGTTAAGATGTAGTAAAAGATTCTACCAACTACTCCTATTGCAAGGCCGTGCTGGCCATACCATCTACAGCTACTGCTAGGCCATACAAGCATGCTCCTGTCACTAGACAGGGAGACATAGCCAAAAGAACATAGCCTATCTGCTCATAACGCATGGAGGGCAAAGCAGCAAGAGCTAGCCAGATTAACAACACCCATTCCTGTAGCTGAGTGCACCTTTACTGCACGGATGAACTGTGTTCTAGTGAGGGAGATTAGGTTAGATTTGTAGGTGTTGTTTGGCGTGTACCTGGCACCATTATAATCACTGCAGAAGGTCTGGCCAACGAATGGTGCTGGGCAGGAGAGGGAAAGACAAATAGGAGAGATAACAGTTTTATAATGACTGGTAACTAGAGCGCCATGGCCTTTGGTCACAGATGAGTGCCAAATGCAATATTCTGCTTCGTCTTCAAAGAGGTAAACTGGTAAAGGAATTCAATGGCCAAGCTTAGATTCCATTCAATCTGTTAGTGGAAAATGATTGGTAAGACTCGTTCTCTGAACATAAATTGAAAGATGGTGACATGACCATATTTTCCATGGAAGACTGGTCCAGAGAGCTGCCTCTTGTGGATTCTTCCACCTGATGTGAAGTTTACTTTGTTCACTTGTGAGCAGTGGACTTGTCTACATTCCACATGCTGCTGTACTTCTTAAATACGTATTACGTCTTCTAAATTCTCATGCTGATGTCTTAGACTGTGAAAAAATAAAGAAAGACTAAAAACAGCCATGATTAGATTTATGATATTTCCAAACAAATGATATCTATTGTGGGGGTGTATATCTAACGAATGCTGTCTATTATTGGGGGGAATGTGATTCACTATCACACCAGAACATGTCTTCTAAATTCTCATGCTGATGTTTTAACGAATGCCCAGCGGTGAACACTTTGGGACTGAAATATAAATTAGTGCTGTCTCAGTTTATATAGAATAATAAGGAAAATCTTGTTAAATATGTAAAACCAATAGTCAAAGCAGCCTAACACAGGTTTACTGGTGAGATACTGGTGAGAAACTGCAGAACACAATGACTTACAATTAATTAACACAAGAAGGATGACCAAGACCTGTAGCTCACACTTTTATTAACAGTATATTCACATTCTATTATCTGCCATTTGTAGTAGTGATGGTTTACATCATTTCTGCTACTCAATACAGCGACATTTACTGACACATCTAATTTTGCATAGGAGTAAGCTGGCTGCTTTGGTTCTGGCAAAGTGATGCCATCACTGCTAAGAATTGCAACAACATCAGGCATTGTGGGACGATCTATTGTTTTTCTTGAACACACAGCAATGCCACAGCAAGGTATTTCATCAGCTCTTCCATTTCATAGTCATCACCAAATGATTGATCAATGAACTCATTAGATCTCCTATCTTTCCACAGTTCCCAGGCCTGAAAAGAAAAAAAATGATTTTTACATGTGTATGATGGTATATCTTCAGCTGTTAGATGTAGCTACAAATGCTAGACAATAGCAATAAAACATGGAGGAGGTAAAGGAAACCGCCCTGTACTTTGAGCCCTATACTTCGTGGAAGAAATAATGTAGAAGACCATAAAAATACACCATTAATAGTAACTGATCTGTTAGTATAATGCAATCTTGTTATAAGGGAAAGCATATCTGTTCCACCAATTTTACAGATTGTTAGTCCTTAGTTGCTTACGTATTCAAGAAGGTTGTAAAACTCTCCATTGTGCTGAAAACCTGAGCTCCTCTTTCCACTTATAATCTCAAGAAGCAGGACCCCGAAACTGAAAACATCTGACTTGATCGAGAGAAGGCCATCAGATACATATTCAGGAGCCATGTATCCACTAGAAAAGGAGAGAATGTGGGTAGTCAGAATGCAAATGCTTTGATAGAAATATTAGTAAGTAACAGAACTAGTATAATAATACCCTTACTATGTTCCCACAAGTCTGCTGGCTGTTGCTTGAGTGGCATCCGATGGAAATATCCTTGCCATCCCAAAATCAGAAATCTTAGGGTTTAGATCAGAGTCTAACAGGATATTACTTGCTTTCAAGTCCCTATGGATGATGCGTTCGTGAGAGATTGTGAAGGTACAGGAGTCCCTGGGCTATACCATCAACTATTTTAATTCGTCTCTTCCATTTAAGCGATGCCTGTCTGATTGGATCTACAAGCAATGTAACACAAGACTAAGTGTTAGTTCTGCATACGAGAATGAATACATTTATGAAATAATGAGCATTTTATAGTAAGGGCATGCCAAAAATGAAGTGGTCCAAGCTTTTGTTCGTCAGGTATTCATAGATCAACATCTTCTCTTCTTCATGGATGCAATAACCAAGCAGTCTAACAAGGTTTTTGTGCTGAAGTTTTGCTATAATCTGGATCTCATTCTTGAACTCTATTAGACCTTGCCGTGACCGAGCAGACAGTCTTTTTATTGCTACCTCTTGTCCATCAGGAAATACTCCCTGCAAAATTCATCATATGTGGAGCTTTTTCATAAATTGATGCATGACATACTAATAGCATTATAGCAAGGAAATACCTTGTAAACTGGGCCAAATCCACCCTCTCCTAGTATATTTTTTGGGTGAGAAGTTGTCTGTAGCATCAGCAATCTGAGAGAAATCATAAAACGAGAACTCTAAACTAGCATCTTCAATCCTCCATAACCTCAGTATTTCATCCATATTCTGGGGCTCCTCCGTCAAGTCATTTTTCCCTAAATGTGCATCTCTCCATTAGTTTTACATGAAATTAGAATAAAGCATTTGATTTCTCTTTCTTCTTTTTTGGATATAAAATAATAAGCTTACTTTTTTTGTTTCCTCCAGACGCTTAGCAGCCAGAAAAACAAGCGTGTACAGAGGGACTGCCGAAGTGTAAGCTGTTGCAATGATGAAGAACGCACGGTCTTTCTTCTTCCCTGGACATGGTACACGAAATGATCAGTGATGGGGTTTAACAACTTCTCAAGAACTTTGGAGTGCCGATACTACTTCGGGGAGCCAGCTGAATTCTTGGAGGTTTCAGAAATAACTCATCTTGGTAACAAGCATGACGACCTTCAGGTTTGTAATGCATAATAGTAGAAGAAAACAATTTTTTCTTTCAGTTTTTTCATGCTGAATACCGGACATGCTTAGGCAGGAACTTACGTAGGGACACCATCTTGCTGTTGCCAGTGACGTTGAAGAACTGCAGGTCCATCTCATACCGCAAGGTGCACCGCGCCCCGAAGACCGCCGTGCCCATCTTGCCGCTGCCGATCTTGCGTCGCCTCTCCGCCATGACGCCATCAAGGCAGGCCCGGCAGTGGTCCGGCGGCATGTCCCACGTGCACTGCGCCAGCCCGTACACCGTCCGGTCCCTGTCCCCGGACGATGACCACGGTGCTTCGCCGACGGCCCACCTGCCCGGTCGCCCTGCCGCGGCGTCAGCAACCGCGCCCAACAGCTCCATGACCCGCTCGTCGAACTGCGCGGCCACGGCGAGTGGCACGAGGTCTGGGTTCGTGACGTCGACCCATTCCGGCGCGTTGCTGAAGTTGGCGAGGAAGTTCCGGTCGGAGAAACGGAGCTGGTACAGCTCGGAGTAGACGGCCACGTCCCTGTGGAGCGCGCAAGGTGAGCGGCCGTCGCCGTCGATGGCGGCAAGGGCATCCCGGAGGCGCCTGGCGCAGTCAGCACCTGCGGAGTCCGCCCGGCAGAGCACGGCGCCGTAGACCCTGTCAGGGTCCTTCCCGGCAGCGCCGGTGGCCGAGTGCAGCCTCGCGGCGTCCCCGATCAGTGCTCCGGCGAGCGACCTCAGGTTGGACATGTAGGTGCTGTCTCGCTTGTACGGGGCATCGTTGCAGAAGGACTGGTCACCGGCCGTCGGCACCGGTGTGCTGGAGAGGAGGAGAATTGCGAGCGCTAGTAGATTTGACATCGATAGTACTAGTAGTTTTTTCTTGGTAACTTTACTAATTAAAATGTTGACCACAGCGCTACACACCCTCCTATCAGAAAAGGGCAAAACTGAAAGGTAAAGGAAAGAGGAAAACAACCGTTCTGGACGAGCTAGCACTTACACATGTAGCAGAGCACTCTGCAAATCTACATGCACATTGTACGCCAAATTATCGGGCATCCTAGCTCACGGACGTCCGGCGCAAGCGCCGCGTCCGGACGCCGCTCCCCTTCCTAAACTGGCCGCCTCCCACGGAATCGGATCACAAACCGCCGGTCCCTCGCAGAATGGAATGGAATGGAACAGAATGCGGACGCCGCTCCTCCCCAACGCACCCGTTTTTCCCTGCGCCCCTGTCCCAAATAGCACGAAACACTTCAAAGCGCAACATCGCAGTATATGAAAAAACTATATAGTGCAACATCATAATATAAAATCTCGCAACATCGTAAAAATATGTATTGTAACAGGAAATACATGTACTGCAGCAATGAAAATCATGTACTACAACATCGAAAATTATGTACTGCAACATCAAAAAAACATGTGCTGCAACATCGAAAATTATGTGCTGCAACATAAAAAATTATGTGTTGCAATATCGAAAATTATGTGCTGCAACATCTCAAACAGTAGTACTGCAACATCGCAAATACATCTGTTGCAACGACCAAAAAATCCCATTGCAACATTCGAAAATCATCTGTTACAACATCCAAAAACCCCATTGCAACACGGGAGAAACGACAAAAAAGAGCGTGCAAAACAGCCCCTGGCCCATCACCTTCGAAGTTCGGCTCGGGAGGAGGGCGAGGGCGGGCGGCGTCCGATCAGGAGGAGCAAGTAGGCGCAGAGGCGGCGCGGCGATGTGTGGCAGTAAGTGGGCGGCTGGGGAGAGGGCGTCACGGCCGCGAGGAGAGTGCGGGCGGAGTGGGCGCTGGAGAGCGGGAGGGGGTGTCATGGGATCGGAACAAAATGGGATGCGTCCGGCGCGTGAGTTAAGGACCGACGTCCTAATAGAATGATTATCGCCAAATTATTGGCCTCGTTTGTCCATCGGGCAAGTGGATAAGAGTATACTACTGACTGAGACCAGCAAAACTTTGAGGACCCACAGACTTCATGGAGACGTACTCTGCCAACAGCCCAACACGGCACACGACGCCGTACGAAGCTGACATTGAGGTTAAAGAGTGCTCAACAAATTTTTGGCTCTCTGTTGTCTACGGACCAACTAGGCACCGTGCAAGGCAAAGGTTCCTAGAGGAACTAAAGGAAATCAAGCCAGAAAATAATACACGTTGGCTGATCCTCGGTGATTTCAACTTAATTTACAAAGCGGCGGATAACAATAATAGAAGATTGAACCATAGGCTAATGCGGCAATTCAGAGATGCTTTGAATGAATGCGAACTGAAGGAGATACATCTCGAAAATCGCAAATTCACATGGAGCAATGAGAGGTGTGATCCAACATTGATGAAGCTAGACAGAGTTTTTTGCAATGCCGAATGGGACTGCACGTTCACCTCTCATGTTCTTCACGCTCTATCCACCTCTCTATCAGAGCACCCGCGGCGGCCGAGGACATTCCATTTCAAAAATTTCTGGACCATACTTCCACGATTCAAAGAGGTGGTGACGAGGGCTTGGACAGCAACCTCAAATCATCATGAACCTTTCCACATCCTCTACAACAAGCTGCTTGTCACAGCCCAAAACCTAAGAGGCTGGAGCAACAGAATCATTTCAGATGCTAAAATGAAGCTGCACATGGCTCTAGAAGTCATTTTGCGTTTGGATGTCGCCCAGGAAAATAGAAGTTTGTCTCCAGCCGAACTCGACCTCAGAGCTAAGCTTAAAAAACGGGTTCTCGGCCTGGCGGTCATTGAGAGGGCAAGAAGTAGGCAAGCTTTGCGTGTCTCCAATATTAAGCTGGGAGATGCCAACACTAAATATTTTCACCGAAGAGTTAACGCTAGAAGAAGGAAGAACCACATCCAAAGATTATGAAATGGTCAAGGCTGGGCGGTCTCACATGCCGAAAAAGTGACAGGAGCACTTCCAAAATATCATGAAACGTCCGCCGCAAAGACGTGCTGATTTAAATTGGGGGAGACTACAAATTTCTACGCATAATCTTGACATGCTCGCCGACGACTTTATAGAATCCGAACTCAGGAGTGCCATAAATCAGATGCCGACTGATAAGGCGCCCGGACCGGATGGCTTTACGGGGTTTTTTTTTCAAAGAATGCTGGGATATTATCAAAGGGGGCGTCATGAACGCGGCTAATGCTTTCCATCGACTACGCACCTCCAAGTTAGCTATCCTCAACACACCAAACGTCGTGCTTATTCCAAAAAAGGATGGGGCGTACTCGGTATCGGATTTGAGGCCCATAAGCCTAATCCACTCCTTCGCGAAGATCATTGCAAAGGTCTTGGCAATGCGCCTGGCACCTCACATGAACAGTCTGGTCTCCAAGAGCCAGAGCGCCTTCATCAAAAAAAGAAGCATCCATGACAACTTCATGTTGGTCCGATGTGTTGTGCGTCGATTCCATAGATCCAAGACCGTAACCCTATTTTTCAAGCTCGACATAACCAAGGCATTTGACTCAGTTCGATGGGAATATCTACTCACCCTAATGAGCAAGCTTGGCTTCCCCAAAAATAGAGATCTGCGTGGCTGCCCTTCTATCATCATCATCTTCCCGTCCCCGCTCAACAGAGTCCCCACTACACCTATCAAGCACGGCCGAGGATTGCGCCAAAGGCGACCCTCTTTCACCCCTGCTATTTGTCATTGCTATCGACCCACTACAAAAATCCTTGACCTTGCGGCCGGAAGAGGACACTTAGCAAAATTCGGGGAAAACAACACGTCATACGGACATCCATGTATGCGCATACGACACGACAATTTTGTTAAGCATATAAGAGGGATGCCACTACACTCAGCTGAAATTCTCGCCAAGTTCAAGGACGCGGCCGGGCTAAAAACAAATGTTGAGAAGTCATCTGTCATCCCCATAAGATGTCAAGGTGTCAACTTTGGATGAGGTCGAGCAATTTCCCAACAAGACGAGCTCGCTCGCTTCCCACAAAATATGTGGGGCTACCTCTAACAATCACCAGATTACGAAGGATCAATTTCCATCCTCTTGTTGACAAAGCCGTGAGCAAGCTCACTGTTTGGAATGGCAAGAATATTAACCATGCAGGAAGGTCCACCTTAGTCAAAGCAGTACTCACCTCCCAAGCTGTGTACTGCCTCACATCCCCTAAGAGCTCTCAAAGCCATCTGAAGGAAATTGATAACCTTAGAAAGAGTTTCCTCCGGGCTGGATCCGAGAAGCTAACTTGGGGAAATGTAAAGTGAATTATTGCCACGTTTCACAAGACCAACTGAATCTAGGGGTCTTGGCATTCTACGTCTTGGAAAATTTGCAAGAGCACTACGTCTCGGATGGTGTGGAAAGAATGGGAGGAGAAAGAAGGGCACTAACCAACTTAGACACACCATGTGACACGATTGATAGGTTCCTATTCGCTGCATGCAACATCAATCACAGTTGGCGACGGTGAGGAGAACATCCTTCTAGAGCGGTAGCGTGGCTCCAAGGTCAAAGGCCCCAAGATCTAGCGCCAAATGTCTTCCAAATTTTAAAAAATAAAAACAAGTCGCTCAACGAAGCTTTGCTGTGAGCTGGGATTAGGGACATAGACCTACAAGATGCAGGTTTCACTTCCCAACACTTCGTGGAGTATGTGCGGCTTTGGCACGCCTAAACCACCTTCACCCCCAATCGGACGGGAAGACAACATCATTTGGAATTTCATGCCAGATGGAAAATTCACAACAGTCGGCCTACCTACCACGCGCAATTCATTGGATCAACGACGACCAATTTCAAGCGACTAATTTGAAAAAAGTCCGCGCCACCAAAATGCAAGCTCTTTGGGTGGCTCGCCATCCAAAACAGAATCTGGACCTCCGATAGACTACAAGCGCGAGCATTGCCAAATAATGGTGTGTGTCCTCTTTGCAGACACAGTCAAGAATCTGGAGTCCATCTCTTTCAAGACTATCGTTACACTAGGCGCATTTGGGAGGGCATTGCAATGTGGCTAGGCAACGAACACCTGCGCCCTTCCATCGGAGACTCCGTACAAACTTGGTGGGAAAACCTAGATCGAACACCGTCGACGGCGAGGCGAGGGCTGCGTTCCATTATCATTCTTGTTTGTTGGGAGGTGTGGACCAAAAGAAATACAAGAATCTTTGAGCGCAAAGAATCCGCACCAATGCATCTCCTCCAGAAGATCAAGGAAGAGGCTGGCTTGTGGGCAATGGCAGAAGCAAAGCATATCTCCAATTTATTATTGCGCGTGTGATTTGAGGCCACCTAAGGTGGAGCGTGTCGGGCTTTTGCCCTCTTGTACACATTTGTATATGCCTGTACAGTGTCTTTCTAGACTCCCTTCTTTTTAATACAATAGGCAGCTCTCCTGCCGGTTCCGTTTCAAAAAAAAAATAGCAATTGGGTAAGAATTATATGATTCAGTACATATACACTAGATAACATGATAAGTCTAAAATTCGAAGATTAAGGTGAAAACATACACAAATTACACTATAAATAGTTCAAACACCGTTCCCACAATTCAAAATATAGATATAAAATTGAGTAATAGACTTACAATACCACTTATCTGACTTCTTTAGCCGATGCTCTTTTTGAGGGACATGAAGTCTTGATTATATCATGCTTCTGAAAAAAAAAAAGATGCAATGTCTCCACTTCTCTGCGTAGTAACTTCATAATTATTAAAAACACAATGCTAAACAACTAAATAAATCACACTTGCACGGATTAAATCTAAGTTCTCATATGTGACTGCATAAACACACATAATATATACTGAATTGTTGATCAATCTTGACAGTCTCCGATGTTGGACTAACGAGCCAA